GTGTGCTCTTCCGATCTTGAAAAAAAGTTTATCATTTTACGATGATTTTTCGCGGAGTTACCGTTAACCAAAGTTGACCAATTTTTGCTCAAAATTTTTCTATGCCATAATTTTTTTGCGCAGTGTATAATCGGGATGTATAAATACATAAGTTATTTTACGCATGTTTGTCATCTTCCACGCAATCATTGTTTATTTGTTCACTTAATAAAAATGTTGCAATGCAAAAAATATTGATATATTGATATTTAATTATTTATACGTCGCCATGTGAATAAGACGGTCTCTCAAACATATATATATTATTTGAATGTACGCGGCTTGAAAACACGCTAGATTGTTTATTGCGATGAATATTATCACATGCCTCGGTGGTCTGAAGGCAGGATGCCCGTCCGGCAAACGTGGAGATCCGGGTTGGATTTCTGGCTGAGAACATGAGGTGATATTTTTTCGCAATAAATTTCTTTACAGATCGGCGCGGAAATCTTGCCGACACATGGGTGCAACACCACGGGTGCAACACTATATTATTTGATTCAGATTTACTGTATTGTGACTTTATAAAGAAAATGGAAGTAATTATTACAAATATGTTATTTCTTATAAACAAAAATAAAAGGTTGCATATGAGTTCATTTAAAACATATATATTTCTCATTATATAATATTATTGATCTTTTGTGGACAGGGATGAAATTACTACTATTAGAAATTATGTATTATTATCTAAAGCTTTTATTGAGTTATCATTGTTATCAATTTATTAACTCTAGATATACACACTGAGGTCCCCGGGACCCCAGCAAATCTTTCTTGGTTTGGCATTTCTGAAATTGGAAAGGGAGGGGTTTGGGATATTGACGTAAAAAAAATTTGGGATCTCCTCAGTAAGAAGATGTGTTGATGCGCGGCAATTGTCGCTCAACAACTAAGCAGTGAACAGTTGAAGTGAGCGTGAGGTCCACGGGACTGCTTACAGTTTTGTTAAAAAATTCAAATATCGGATCCGCCAAATTTTTTTATTACTATTTTAAGTACGCCCTTTCAGAATTTTTAAGGATTTTTCAAATCGGTTGATAAACAAAAAGAGATATGATTTTTTAAAAAAGGTGCTGAATCGAAGTTTTTTCGCGTTTTTGAATTTTTCTTGTTCTTTGAACCCGTATATCTTGGAGTTCCTTAATTCTACTTTTCCTTAATTCGACTTTTAAACATTATGGGCTTGTTCCTTGGTCGATTCTCTATCGATTGAAAAAAAAATTAATTGAAATACGTCCATTTTTACTAAAGTTACAGTAATAAATATGGATGGGGTTCCCCAGTGTGTATACGACGTCGCCAAAAAATAGTGTGTATACCTAGGGTTAACTCTCATTTGCTTAAAAATATTATCAGTTGATCATCTTATTTTACCTTTGGTACAAATGTTTCCCTGATAATATTATAATTCTATGTTCCCGTTACTATACTATGATCATGGCTATGTATATGTTTCACGTTTGCGTTTGCGGCGGATGTCTTGTCGCGCAACTTAATACTTGTTATCGCGGACGCGTAACATGTCGGTTTAACTCTCTTTAATCAAACTCTTGCGGCGCAAGTTTAGGCGGCCGCTTATATAGGATTTTGTGGTGTCCTATTGTAATTCGCGATGGTCCGCGATCGGACCATATTTGGTCATGAGAAATCAGGTGACATCTTTCCATGTGACCTTCGTTCGCGCTCGCTTGCAAGGAATTCACGAGCTTGCAGTCTTGCATTTCCGCTCGCTCGCTGCCATGCATGCGTTGCTATGCCGAAATGCAAGACTTATAGCGTGATAGCACTTGGGCTATAACAATAATGTAATATAATGTGCAATAATTATTATAGATTTTCAATACTGATAATGACTATATCGGAATGTAGCCTAAAAATATAGAATAGAAAGTATTTATAAAAAATAAGTAAAAATAATTATAAAATAAGAAAATACATATATTTTATCATTGTATTTATTGCACACCTAATTCTAGTTTTATATAATTCATTGTAAATAATACATTGTATTTGCATAATGTACACGATCAGCACGCGATCTATTGAATATAGATGTAAAGATAATAGAAAACTAAAGTAACGATAAAAATAATGGCAAATTCGTTATCGTTACTCTAAAAATAATGACGTCACCGTTACCATTACAGCTACAAAAAAAAATAACGAAATCAGTAACGACGTTATAAATAACGCGTTATTTCTTAACCTTGCATATTTACAGTAAAAAAAAGTATACTCCAAACTTAAATTTTATATAAAAAGATAAACAAGATATATCATCTTTATATGAATACATCTACTTAAGGTACTCAATAAAGATTAATGTCTCAATAAAGTTATGTTTTGTTCATCTTTTATTAGACCATCCAGAAATTTCAAGTAGAATGGGAACAATTAGCAATGTGAAAAAATTTGATGCGGATTTCTTTGGATTATCTTTCGACCAAGCACACACACTCTCGCCTGAAGCGAGAATGTTATTGGAACATTCTTATGAAGCAATTATCGATGCAGGAATCAATCCGAAGCAACTTCGAGGAAAAGATACCGCTGTAATTATGGCGGCATCTTATGTTGAATTGCAAAAACCCTTTTTATATACCGCCAATCAGGTACAGAAAATTATTAATTAATATAATTATTAAATAATTAATATATAATAGTAAAGAATTATTGTATTGTTTAAGAATAAGACATAATAATGTTAAAATTCTGTAATTAGTTAGGAGATCACAATATTATTGGATGTAGTAAATCTACAATAGCAAACATGATTTCATACTATTTCGATCTGAAAGGGCCATCATATACCATTGATACAGCATGCAGTTCTAGCCTTCATGCCTTGGCCATTGGTTATGATTGTATCATGTCGGGCATATGCGAAGACGCAATAATTGGAACTGCAAATATATGTTTTCTTCCCATTGTAAATCTACACTTTTCTAGGCTCGGTATTTTTTAAGAACTAATAAATTTCTTAATATGCAATAAAATTAAAGAAACACTTCTATTATCCACGAAAAGTAAAGTAAAATTTAACTGATTGAAAGTAATTTTTATAAAAACGTTTATAATAAAATTTTTACCAAAATTGAATAACATATCTTCATAAACAAAAAAAATAATTCTTTAAATTTCTGTGTGTAAGCTCATCTTGAATAACTTTTCACACATATTTTTACATATACATATATAATTCGTATCTCTTAGGCGTTTTGTCACTCACCGGTTATTGCAGACCTTTTGATGCAGCTGCAAATGGTTATTCGCGTGCTGAAACGGTGTCAGTGATATACCTTCAAAAGGCGAAGAATGCGAAGAGGATTTATGCTATATGTCCGCATATTAAATTAAA